TATAATTTTGACCCATACAATGTATTGTTGGCTATTGCTACAAATATACCCTAGCGACTTAAGACTGCTTTTGTGCTCCAGGCTCACATATATTAATTTTAAAAAGTTAATATGTTACTTCTTTTTTTAATTTGTAATGATACTTGTATAAGTACACACAAGTGAATATTATTGAATGCAAGCAAATACTGAATTTAACCCAAGAAAAGTTTAGAATTGTGCTAAAACGGGCATTTAACTGCATTCAACAAAGGATTTTTATCCCCTTATATGTGCACTATATACATATGAATTGATATTGAATCGAGATCAAAATCCCCCCCACCCCCCCAAAAAAAATCTCACTCCAAGCTGGACTTAAAAGTTGGCAACCCTGCATCGTGCTCATTATGAATGGTCATGAGACATGCGTGCCTGGTTGAGTAGTGTGGACGGAGATCGTCTCTGAAACGCAGTGAAAACGCCAGTGTAGACGAGGATCGTTTTCATTTAAAAAATGCACGTGTAAACAGGGCCTTAGAGCGTCAAATGAAGATGGAAGAGATGTGTTTTTAGCCGCTTCTTGAAGATGATTAAGGACACTGCTGCTCAGATTGAGTTGAGCAGGTTATTCCACAAGCAGGAACAAATAAAAGTTTGCAAATAACATCTGTTGGATTTACCCTTACAAAAAGTAACTGTTATTTTACTACAGTGACCATATTTTAACCATTATATTTGTAGTAAAATTATGCTAATCACAGAAAACCCTCTTGATACATCTTCACCTCTTAATGAGGTTGATGCATTAATGTTTGCTGTTTCTTATGCAGCTGCTGTTTTTGTATTTCATAGTGGACCTCAGATTTATCTTCGAGGGCAGACAACTGGAGGAGGGTCGTACACTTGGCTCTTATGGCGTACTAAACGAATCTACTATTCATACAGTTCTTCATCTACGTGGTGGAGGTATGTAAAAAAGTGTTTAAAATGATTTAAAGTGTCAGATAATCGTATTAAAACTGACCCTTCATGTTGTCACACAAAACAGATGCTTGTTTTCTCTACAGCAGTGCTTTTATATTCAGGACACTTCGGTAAATTCTGCTCTTCAACTAAAATTGTATGTTATATGTAAAATTATATGTATGTTGCATGATTAGTTTGAACATTCCCATAATGTTAGTAAAATGATAATATGGAACATTCCCTTAATGTTTTTGCTAACCATCACATAAACAAGAAAAACATTTTTTTTTTTTAAATAACTGGATGTTTTGAAAGTTCTAAAAACATTAATATTCTTAATGAGAATGTTAGCAAAACAGTATATATTTTTGTTAGCTGGGGTGTTTTTTAGGGCAACTTCTCAAAATCAGGCCGTGTTATCATATGTTTCGCTCTATATGTGAATGTTGGTCAAAACATTGGTTTGTTTACATTTTTACAGAGTTTTGTGTTTTATAATTGTTTTGTTGTTTAAATGTTGCTGACATTTTACCACATATAGTGTGACAACATTATATGGGACATATGCTGTATATTTGTTCAGTAATATTTCTCTTTTTTCAAAACATTTTCTTTGTGTAAAACATTTTTGATTATTAATCCTTCATACAATTCATGTTAAAGGTACAGACGGACTACTTCAAGGCAAATATCATTCAGGTTCTGACATAGGGTGACCATACGTGCCATTTTTCCCGGACGCGTCCTGGCCAGGATTTCTATATTGCCCAAAATATCTAGGTTTTGGCTTTGTTTGCGTGTGCAGACCGATCGGTGAGTGACATCAAAGTACCATACAGATGGTTCCTTATGCTTTCCTTTATGCTTTACTTTGATGTCAAACACTGATCGGTCTGAGACGCGCTGCTTTAAGTCGAATGCATCTAATATGTACGCGTATTTGCATCGCTTTGACTGTAAATCCCACCTTCTCACACGCCATGATTGGTCCATTATGTACAATGCCTGCATGTTATTGGTCAAACTACTTTTCGATCATTACCTTCACTGTAAAAAATGATTGTGATTTTAACAGTAAAAAACTGTAAAAATGCTACAGTAAAAACCTTTTAATTGGTTATCAGTAAGTTTCCATACTATATACGGTGAATAGCTGTAAGTACATTTAATGTAATTTTACAGTAAAATACTGTTAAAATTACGTTTTTTGGAAGTGAAAAAAATAGTCATTATATAATTATATAAAAGTTTAATAAACCAGCACATTGAAGTAGTTTTGAAAAGGTAACTAAAAAGCAACATCTCTTTTTACAGTGCGCAAATTTCATATACATTTATACAGTTTTAAATATATATATATATATATATATATATATTGTACTGTTCAAAAGTTTGGGATAAGTAAGGCTTTTTAATATTTTTATAAGTTTCTTATGCTCATGAAGGGCTGCATTTATTTGATCAAAAATACATAAAAACAGTAAAATTGTGAAATATTATTACAGTTTAAAATAACAGCTTTCTATTTTTATGTACTTTTAAAAGTAAATTATTTCTGTAATGCAAAGCTGAATTTTCATCAGCCGTTACTCCAGTCACACAATCAATTTAAAGGGGTCATGAACTGCCTTTGTTTTTTTTAATTTGTACTGTTCTCTGAAGTCCACTTATAATGTTATCAAGATTTTTACATCAAAAAACATAATTTAGAAGTAAAGAACACTCTGTTTGAATAGGCGTGGAGGACTGTAGACGAGGACATAAATGCCTACTGCTATGATTGGCTTACATAAAAAAAACATAAGCTATTTCTGTCCTGTTTTAACCCCCTCATCAGAACGCTCTGTTTGAACAGGCATGGAGGATTGTAGACTCAGAAGTAAACGCCCACTGCTGTGATTGGCTAATAGCTGTGTATGATTGACAGCCTACATTCCTCACAGATGGGCGCTGCTGTGATTTAGTCTAAAAACACATAAATACTCAGCACATATCAAATTATCTGTAATAACAGACAAACCAATAGTAATCACGTAATAAAAATAGTTACTCACACTTGTGTGCTGTAAAATTGGTGGGCGGGGCTAAACAGACAGCGATGTATAATCGGTATGCGGGGCTAAACAGACAGCGATGTAGAATCGAGGGGACGGGGCTAAACAGACAGCGATGTAGAATCGAGGGGGCGGGGCTAAACAGAGAGCGATGTAGAATCGGTATGCGGCGCTAAACAGTCAGTGATGTAGAATCGGTATGCGGGGCTTTGTATTTCCTCTCCTCCTACTAAACAGACAGCTCGGTATGCGGGGCTAAAGAGTCAGTGATGTAGAATCGGTGGGCGGGGCTAAACAGTCAGAACAGTCAGTTCAGTGTACAGGGCTAAACAGGAAGTGATGTAGAATCGGTGGGCGGGGCTAAACAG